GACTCCTTCCTCCTTCTCCTGTCTTATTCTCGCAGACTTCCTTCTCCTCTCCTTCTGCACGTTCTCAGCTTCTCCTATCCTTCTCCTCTCCCTTCTCCTTCTCCTTCTGCCTTTCTCCTTCCTCCTCTGCGCTTCTCCTTCTCTTCTCCTGTCTCCTATCTCCTTTTCCTTCTCCTTCTCTCTCTTCCCTGTCTCATTCGTCCTATCGTCCTTCTCCTGTCGTCACTTTTCCTTCTCCTTCTCCTTCTTCGAGCTATCATCCTAGTCTCCGTAGTCTGCCTTTTCTGCCTTCGTCCTTCTGAGCCTAGTCTCCTTTCCTTCTCGTGCTCCTTTCTCCTTCTCCATGCTACCTGTCTCACTATGCTCCTTTCTCCTTCTCCTTCTCCTTCCTCCTTCTCCTGCTCGCTTCTCCTTCTGTCGGCGTATACTGGGCCTGCTCGACTTCAGTGCCTTGCTCGCTTCTCCTTCTACCTTCGTGCCTGTCTCCTAGCTGGAGAGCGAGCAAGTGTTCCTTGCTCCGCTTCTCGCTTCGTCTATTCGTGAGACCATTCTGCTTCTCCTTCTCCTGTCTCTTCTGCCTTCGCGTTTCTCGAGACGCTGTCATCAAGCTTCTCTTCTCCTGATCCCTGTCGTCCTTCTGCCATGTCTCCATTGCTCCTTCTGCCGTTGCTCCTAATTCCTTCTCCGTATCTGCCTTCTCCATGATCGTCCTTCTCCTTTCGTCAGCTTCTCCTTCTGCCTTCTCTTTCCTGCGTCGCTTACTCCTTCTCCTTCTCCTGTGCATCTTCTCCTGTCTCGCTTCTCCTTCTCACTATCTACCTTTCCTTCTCCTTGTCCTTCGCCTTCTCCTTGCTCTTCTCTTTCGCTTCTCTTCTCCTTCTGCCTTCTACCTTCTCCTGTCTCCTTTAGCTATCGTCCCGGTTCTCCTTTCCATTCTCGCTATACTCCGTTCTCCTTCTCCTTCTCCTTCTCCTTCTCCTTCCTTCGTCCTTCTCCTTTCTGTCTCCTATCTCCTTCTCGCTTTCCTATTCTCCGTTCTCCTTCTCCTTCTCCTTCTCCCTATCTCTTCTCACTTCTCCTTCGTCCTTCTCCTTCTCCTTCTACCTTCTCGCGTTCGTGCCTTGTCACTTCTGCTCTGTCTCCATGTCTAGGCAGCTTCTCCTTCTACCTTCTCGAGCTTCTGCACATTGCTCGCTTGT